AGGTTTTTTCACCACCGAATCACCACATGGAGCATTGGGGTGCCATGTTTTCATCCGCTCCTCGAGCCAAGAGTCTGCTCTGTCCAGGCGCCCTGAAAGCCACTGCGATCCAGATGGCAAGCGCCGACGGTGTGAGCACCGGACAAAGCGACAATCTCTTTATCATCGAAGCCCTTGGGGTGAAAGATCCTTGGACAGTGAAGTCCGGGAAGGACGTGAAGGATCTGAGTCGAAGGGTTCAAAGGGTGGTGGTACATCACGGGCACATTCCACCGTCTGAAAAGGTTCTTGTGAACTTGTGACCCCACAGGGCCATCAAGTCACAGCGGTACATCTTGTTCGGATAGTTTTGGAGGTGTTTGTCTGGCCGAACTGGGGCCTTGCAGGACATCCGAGAAGCGCTCATGGTGCTGGACCCTTAGGGGAATCCAAACATCCCAGACGCTCCATGTATGCCATATATGCCTACATTGACCCCCCTGGCACCACCCCAACTGATCGGCATATATTCCATACATGGAGCATCTGGGCATGTTATGATTGTAATTTGGGGGGAAACGGTGAATCCACACACCACAACTGGCACACTGCCACTGCTACTGCCACTTCTTCCAAGCGTCGTTCGAAGATGATGAGCGTCTTTGTCTCCATCCTGAGCAAAGGGGATTGGCATGTTGCTGACCTAAACATCAGGAAACCTTCATGCTTCTGAGCTCCAGAAGCACCGATTGACACCTTCATGTTTCACAGTTATTTCCGTGAGCAAACTCAAACTCGCCCAAATTGGGTTCCTCCCAAAAGGTTTGAAGCGTGATTCTACCAGGTGTGGGCAACCTTATCTGATTTAGCCCTACACATGTATGGAAAGTTTGATAAATAAACCCTGGTCACTGATCCCATATAAAGTGCTGTTTCAATCCTTGTCTGCCGGGGGGTTTATTAATTCAACAAATCACCCCGAGGTCCTGAAGCGATTTGAAGTGAGAGAACGCCAGCAACTGGGTTTGGACCTTCCAGGATACCTTCGAAGGTCCAAGGGCCAACAACCAAACGGACTACAAATATGGACCCTCAAATGTCGGGATCCCTGATATAGAGCCTATGGATTGTTTGGATAGTGCGTTGTGTTCTATGATGAACCTCAAAGACTCTATGAGCCCACAGGATTCCCCAAGAATGCTTCAAAAGGGCCGGCTAACAACAATGGTATCAATCCTTCTTGGAGGATGCCAACACTCCAACCACCCCTTTTTCGACATCACGATCAATGATCACCAAGCTCGTCACACCAACAAACACCAATCAAACGCTCATCACTGACTCATCACCCAACGATCGGACCTTCTGTTCCCCCCCCTTTCGGAAGCCTCGGGGTTTACGTCTGTTTTTGTTCCTTCTTGTTCCCTATGGCTCCAACTGGTTCAGGTGGTTAGAATTCCCTGGCACCCGCCCCAACCATCTTCCCAGGGCCAGGAGCCCTAGGGCCCTATAGGTGTCTTGTGCCACCGAAGGCTCGGGTAGTCGCCCTGTGCCACTGGGGGCACTCTGCGAGGCTTGCTGCGCGTCGAGGCGGCCGTAGCGCGTGGTGATCACGGGGCCACCCATGACCTGCGGCGAAGCGGCCGGGGCGACGCGGTCCGAGACGCGTAGTACCGAGGCGTTCGTCTCATTCCCGTTGGGGGCTCCAGTCGTACCTCCTCAGGTTCGGTATCTGGACCCTCTAAACCCACCCCAAACACCTTCTCAGAAGGTACCTGGAGCCCTATAGGGCATATGAAGCAGATAGGGTTTGGGTGGGCTTGGGACATATCATGTCATATCTACCTGCCATGATGGACGGCGAGAAGCAGGTTGGGGAGGGTTCATTTGGGCGGTGAGTGAATCATAATGCATATCGGTTAACATCAATTTAATATACAAAAAACAACACACTAGAGTAAAACGCAATATTTAGGTGCCAGGTATAGGTGCCTACATGTGTACTATCCTTAACACCTCCTCCATGCGTCTACTACCATTTAGAAGGTACTTTGATTGTGAAGTCCAAGGACCCGAGGATGTAGCTGGACGAAGCCAGGCGTGGTGAATGGAAGGCCCATACTCCCCACGCAAGTTCCAACAACCACCCTCAAGCTGGAATCCCTGCAAAGATCTTGCAGAACATGCAAAATACAAGTATTTGTTTAACACATGTCTCAGGAAAATACAACCGAAACAAGTCAAGTGCTCAGTGTGTGCCACATCGAAACCTTGCAACTTGCAACCAAGTGACTTTGATCGCTACGTTGGCAGCGACCACCCAGAGATCTGCATGGGAGATCAACCTGGCATCACATCGGGTGGCAGCACAACACTCAAATACGACCTGCCTGGGACTGGCATTGTAGCCCAAACACTCCATGTATGGCATATTTATAGTCATATTGAAATACATTGGGGTGGTTTCAGGGGTCAATATAGGCATATATTCCATACACATGGAGTGTTTGGGTAGGGCCTACTTTGACCCTCTGAAACCCCAACTCATCGACACATGTGCGAGTATTAGAGGGCATTTGGGACATGTTTGGATGGGGGCGATGCTTCGAGATGTTGCAGAACTAAAGGGATGCAAACAAACTCACGGACATCGGAAAGAGAACAAAAAGAGCGTTCTCAACCTGAGAGGGTGAGCTTAGGGCTCCAGGATTTGGACTCACACCATGCATGTGTTGGGCAATACATAACGTGGGGCTCTTGGGAACTCATTCCCTTAGGTCTCTCAGGTGTTGCAGCGGAATGGGTGTGATCCAGAGCTGTGCATGCCAAATCAACTTACATCAAACTCATCTGCCAAAAGTTTGATCGCCCAGTCACAAAACCAACTTGTTAACAAACAAATATAGTTTGGATTAGTTTGGGTATGTTTGGCATGGACGTGTACGAGAAGTGCGCCACTATGTGACGGGTCTACAGTGTGAATACTGTTTAAAACATTATGCACACACGACTGACCTGCTCAACCATGTAGAGTACTCTCGATTGTGCTGGAGTTTTTACCGAGAACAAGGGGTTAGAGTTGATATTGAACCAGGAGTGAACAGTAAGAAGGCCAATTTGCAGAGGCAGTTGCTGAAAGATCCATTGGTGCAAGCTGAGGGGCCACAGTGCATGGTCATGCTCTTGTCTGCCGAAGGCAATTCAGAAGCTGAACAAGCGTACTGTGATGCTTGGATTTCTTGTATGGAACAACATACGACCGATGACAGTTTGCTTGAAGGATTGAGACGAGTCAGGCCTTCACATTTCCTCTATCATGATGAAATGCTCCAGGTATTTCGGCGGTGGACTGATCAACTTGTTGAAGCAGAGACTCTGACCCTTAGTCGGCTAAGGGTTTTGATGCTTTTTCAAGAGTTCGCGTCTGGAGAATGGTTCCTTGGACCATCCAACGGGTTTTCTGTCTCAAAAGAGTCAGTTGATGCATTCTTCCAGCGAGAAGCTCAATTTCTGCATCGTATTCGACCCTCTCTGACAAGGAGAGTTGCGTATTCTCCACGAATCTTTGCCCACCTCTTTTCAGGAGCGCGGCGAGAGGCTGATTTCGAATATTTCGTTGAGCAGATGAATGCTAAAGCTGTGTCCGTAGACATTATCTATGACCTGCATTGGGGCAACACGCTCCGTGAAGAGACCTTTGCCTTATTTGCCCGCGCATTGCGTGAAGGTGCCCTTAGAGGATTCCTCGCAGGGCCACCATGTGAAACGTGGTCCAGGGCAAGGGCTGTTGCGTCAGAAGCGAATGGAGTCAGACCTCTCCGAAGCCGACAGCAGTCAGCTGGTCTTCCGTGTTTGAACAAGAAGGAATCCTTGCAAGTTTCCACAGGCAACCTGCTACTGGGGGGTCACTTTGAGGCTCTTCCTTATCGCGCTGTTGTCTGGATCTATGGCTGTGGTGGAACATCCAGCAGAGCTGGATGATGAACAAGACTTTCCTTCGATTTGGAGGTTGCCTGTTGTCCAAATGTTGATGAGGTTTGAAGGTTGTCAGTGCCTTCGGATCCAACAAGGACACTACGGTGCCCCCTCGTGCAAACCAACAGATCTGTGGATAGCACATGCAGAGGCAGCTGAACAGACTCTGTGCTCTGGAAGAACTACACGAGTTCCGCTGACGACCAGTATAGGCAAAGATGAGTCAGGCTGCTGGAAGACCGGGAAGCTCAAGGAATATCCTGGAGCACTATGCCGAACACTTGCTGCTCTCTTCGATGTCTCACAGCCACATGTTGATCAGGGAGAGAATCTTCCTGAGTGGTTTGCTGATGCGGTCACAAAGCTGATTGGCCACTTTGACCAAACAGCAGAGCGTGGCCCTGACTTTTGCATCGATGCTAGAGCAGCTGCAAAGATGCCAATTCGTAATTCATGCATGACAGAGCCACAAGCGACTCGCTCTCGGCGTAACTGAAATGAAATGAAACAAAATTGGTATGTTTGGTTGAATTTGGTGTGGTTTTCTCGATTTGCTTTGTGAAAGTCCGCTCCACTCTCCTCTTTCCATACCCCCCCCGCAGCACGTTTACTACACCAAACAATACCTCACAAACCCGCGGTCACCCCGGTCGCCCCGGTCCGTGCACCCGGACCTGGGCACATACTTCGCTGAGATGGGTGCCAGCAACTTGATCGCGACCTGCAATCCTGCATTCGCAGCCATTTGCTGTTCCTCAGAAACGAGGACGACGGAAAGACGACGACGCCTACGGCTGAACAATCCGGGGGCTCAAGGAAACCCTTTGAACCTGGACCCGACTTCAAAGGAACCCTTAGAAAATGGAGACATGACCCCATAAAAAACAGGTACCACTCTGGGCTGTACCCATTTTCCGAGGTACGAACTGAGACTCCAGAATCTTGGATGTTCAGAAGCGCTGACTAAGACACATTTCTGGCAGTTCTTCATGGTAAAACCATGCACATCACTGTAGCTGAGCCAAGGCTGAATCTGGGTCAAGCATCAAACCAAATCAACAAAGCCCTGGGGCCCTCGGTTGTATTCATTGATTTGATTTGGTTTGCTTGTCAATTTTTGGTTTGGGTCAAATCCTGGAGCCCAAAAATGACTTATCATCAGATAGGTCAACCAAGGTATGCTGGTTTTGACCCACAGACTTGCAGGTGTTCTTGAGGTCTTTGGGATTTCTGGGAGGGTCTTCATGTGTGGTGCGGAAACTCGCCATGAAATCGATTTGCCTGTGGGTCAAACCCAGAGGACCCGCGTTGATCTTCCCACCGAACACGAACAGACTAGATGAATCAACACCAGGTCAATCTACCAGAGTTCGTTTTGGAGCTCCAAGTTTGGATCCCCCAGCCATCTAAAGTACAAGGACTCTTGCTACGTAAGTTGTGACGAACTCTCAAACCCCGCGAGCTTCGAAGAAGGGGAGCGACGGCACGGGGGTTCGGTGGCGCACACCGACTCGAGCACTTCGCAGCCACCAAGACTCCGCCGATCCACTCAAGCGCATCGCAGCGTTGGGACATCCATCCTGAGACGCATCGGAGGCATTGAAACGCAGCAGCGTGTTTCGGTGCCCAACCCGAAAGCGGGGCGTAGACCTCTCGTCCGACCCCGTCTGCTCTCTTATATTATGCTTCCCATATCTTCCCATTCTTTGCAGGGGTGTGGACATTCGAATGCATGTGGTAGTGGCGCATGCCAGGTGTCGAGCTAAGCAACATCACGTCGTCGGTTTGTTTATGTCGGCCGACTGTCCGATCCACTGCCAACTGGATATGGTGTCCAGCTGCCACAGCCAGCGGTCGTCGCCAGAGGTGTTTGCGTCAGTGTCAATCCCGCGACTCCATGGGTAAACTCACATCGTGCGGATGAAAAGACGTGTAAGACATGACCAAAACACATCTTTTCTTCCCTAGAACCTCCACACGAGCTTGATCCCGCACGGGATCTTGCAACTGTGAGGTTGGGACCCCATCCAAACTCTTCCTGGAGTTCACCAAACACCAGTCTTTGGACATTTGGAGACACAGGACCCACACATGCAGCCAAGGATCCACACCATTGTAGACTCCCGCGTCATGCCACGAGAGCCGGATCAGGATGGGACCACATTGCTTCCTGACCGCCGAGAGACGAACCAAACACAGCACCAGGCGCGCGCTCCCATCGTGTGGCGATTGGAAGAACAAATATCACCCAATGCTCCCAACTGCTTGGTGTTTTCAACCCACTTGAAACATATTAATCAGAGGATCCAATCATCCATCCCCAAGTAAGGGTTGAAAGTAAAAATAACCGAAACCATCATCTAGCCAATCCCTTCAGCGAAATGGTCTTCTAAGAATGGTACTTGTTTGGAGGGGGACGATGATTCTTTTGATTCTCTTTGGTACAAAAGCCTCTCTGGAATATGGGTATGCAATTCTTCTGCAGAGACTGCCCCACTAGAGGAACGTACCCAAACCTGGATGAGCAAGCCAAACCCTGCCAAAGCCATTCTGTTGAGGGTTTAGGTGGCCCTGTTTGTTCGTATGTGACTTGTAAACACATGCCACTTGCATACCTGGACCTTCAAAAGTGACCTCTAGAAGGTCGTCTCTGTTTGAGACCTCTTTAGGGACGATTCGTGACCTCATTCTAGGATCATCCGACTACTGGTACTCTTTGAAGGTCCTGGTACTCTTTCGCTCATCCCATTCCGTCTGAATCATCCGACTCGCAACGTCGCCCAAAGCTTCACCGATGCGAAAGCGAGTCAGCGAGTGAGGAAAAATCCTGCGCCCAAAACGCTCATGTCACCCTGAACCCAGCTTTCACCCGTGAAAATGCACAGATTCCTCTATCCCTAGGGATCCAGTCGTACCTTCTCAGGTACGGTGATTGGAGGCACCTGTTATGTAGGTGCCAGGAGGGTCCAAGTACCTTCTGAGAAGGTACGACTGGATCCCTAGCGTATGAAGGATGTCAAGCTCCTGAGGTTTGTAAAATGAGGTTTTGACCCACAGCCATCTCACAGTTCTTCTATTTACTTTGAGGGTGTTGTTTTCAGGATAGTTCTTCCCCATCAACAGGTCCTCGCTGTGCTGTGGCTTCTAAAGGGAGTGTGTATAGTTGTGCAGGATCTATTCCAAAGGTGCTCATGGAAAGTGTCAGCTGTCATACAAGCTATCGTGGTCTTTTTCAGAGGCACAACTTGGCTATGTCCCAATACCAGTAACAGTGGATGATGATGGTTCAGTTGCAGGCCTTTCTAAAAAGAAGTGATTGAATCTTACCACTGTTACTCTTACAGGTAGTAGGACAAACCCTAGGCACAACAGCGGAACACCACTGATCCAATGGCTTTGGGGGCACGGCTTTCCAAGCCAGGCCACTGTCGCACTAACTTCTCCAAGTCTTCTAAGAGGAACCTTGACACAAGCCGGGACTTGGAACAGCTGCATGGTCAAGTTTGATCCAAAGGTTGTACATGTTACATCCTGTGCTTCTTGGCCAGCTACTTTACATGATTTATGTAATCGCGATCATGTTTAGGTGCTTTTCTTGACCGGTGATGTGTTTTGCAACCGTCTGTTCGTTGTACGTACTGGCAATACCACCTGCAACACTGCAAGCTTGATCTCCAAAGCCCGTGTTGTTGGGTCTATCCCATTACCAGGGCCTCTGCGTGAATGGTGTTGGTTTCCGACCGGCATCACCAAAAGTCGTCATCATCGTTTTACCGACGGCTGTACGGGTGCGGTGTATATTTCAATAGGGATTCAATAGTCAGGGAGACCTTCTTCCAGGGGGTCGTTGCCTGCGGGGTCTCCCTGTTAACAAAGAAGCGCTATTTCCAACTTGGATTTGCAACTCCCAGGACCCTGGAAAACATATAACATATTCCCCAGGTTTGGGGATTTAACCCTTATAGCGCTTATAGGGATAATAAAACATCGCCTTAAGCATAATCAGGAAAAGGGACAAGCAATGACAAGCATGGTAAAAGCCCACGACGCGGTTCGATGCTGCCAGACCCAAATGCTGCGCCATCGCTGCCCGAACCAAGTCGAGACTTTATTTGTCCAAGGAACTCATAGGTTAGAGACCGACAAAGCGTCATATTCAAAATTTGATCTGCCTTGCACTTCTCAAGCATTTCGACCACATCCTGGGAGCGAGTGTTTTTAGGGTCTGTAGACATGTCAAGTGTGTCAGTGAAGTTTAGCCCAACAATCTGAAGGCCCAACACACGGGGTCTCTGCAGTCTCTCTTGTCAATAGAAAGGCAGCTCGTCAGCCAAAGAACCCATTCATAGCATGTTCATACAGTATGATTCAGATATTCTCTCTTTGCCTCTCTTTCTCTTGCACCAACACTTGAAACGATCCAAACGGTCTACAGGTCGGCTCTCACTTTCACCATCTTTCACCGGTTTGGTCGGCTCCATGCCGCACATCTCGGACCCGCCCACTTCCTCGTCTGTCTCGGGTGGCCTCCTCGTCTCCCGCGGCCAAGCATGGCAAACCGCTCCGTTTCGCCATGAGCCCGGTGGGCCAGGGGGGTCTGGGGGTGGTCGAAACGGGGGGTCGAAATACCACCGTTCCCTGAGTCGGGTCTGGGGCCAGGAGCGCGTTTGGGGAACCAACTCGTTCCATCCGCGGAGCTTTCGTCCATCCCTGGGGATCCAGTCGTTACTGAACCTCAGCAGGTGAGGACGGAGACACCGCTATTTGCCGGTGCCAGGAGGGTCCAGTCGTTCCGAACCTGAGGTTTGGTGGCAGTGGATCCGGCATCTTAGAGTGACCCATCTACCGTCCGCCGGCACCACCGCAGCTGAGAAAGAGAGAGAGAGAGAGGGGGGGGGGTCGTGTTCACCTTGCCAAGCATCTCCCTTCACGCCGTTCACCTCAAGGATGCTGTCCTTGGAAAAACCGTCGCTTGGGGCCTTGGCCCCTTCTTACACGCGAAGGGGGGACAGCGACAATCGGAAGGTCGCGGGACGTGCGAAGGCACCTGGGGTGGGGGGTGCTCAAGATAGTCTTTTCAGTGACTGAAGCATCAGAATGGTTTCCTCACCAGGTATGCTTTGGTGAGAAACAGCAAGTTACTCCCTGTATGAAGCTAGACAAGAGCCAACCAAAGGTGCAATATGTCGCACTTGTTGACTGGGAATCCCTAGGATTCCAATAACCATTGATCTAAAGGGTTCCTACATGTTCTTACTGAAGAGATCTGAAGAGCCACTTGTTTGATTGAGGATTTTAGAACACACAAAAAACCAGGGTCACCCATCTGTTCAAGGGTCTTGGAAGCCTAGGTCTCTTTCAATTTTGACGTTGAGTCTATTGGCACACTCGCAGGAGGACTTTCGAGAAAAACAAGAATCTAAGCAGCGACTTTACAGTATAGATCAAAATATATATATATATATTATGAAGATGGCACAAGCTCAGCACAACCCCAACAAATCAACTCCTAGTGTCCCCATGACCAGATGTCTTGGCTTGTGCCTATGTCTATTTGCATTAAAACACCTCACGCACCTGCTGAGTCTTGGCGGTGGTACCAGGAGACCTCGCGGGCACGACCTATATTGATGGACTGATCGAATCTCTTGCTACCATGACGGGCTGCTCGGGCTCATCCTGTTCTTGGTGCCATCGTTCTCCAAATGGGTCTGTAGCCCAAACAGTGAGATCTCGGTATTTCGACCCCTTGGCAGGTTGGGAAGATCGAGGGTCTCCCCATATAGACATACAATATACACACCCAAATGGAGTGATCATGGAGACATGTTTTAAGATTCCGATTTGATGGGAGGCTTCGGCTTCGGGCCATCGTTTTCCGACATGCGTGCGCCTGCCATGGAGACCCTGAATGTATACACTCTTGATTAACAACGCCCCCAAATGAAAAGGGTTGTTCAATCCATGTCTGCTGTGGGTATATCAATCGTCAACATTCATTGGACTTGATTACCCTACACCTCCAGTCGCACCTCCTCAGGTTCGGTATGACTGGACCCGACAATGGCACCCGGGCCCCGGTCGTCCCACCGAACCTCAGATTCGGTACGGCTGGAGGTCTAGGGCCTAGGGTCCAAGGTCTTCATTCCTCCATATCCCTCCCTCCCCCACGAACCGTCCGCTTCGACCTCGGAAAGCCCTGCTTCGATCGAGTCTTCATCCTGCCGAGACTCTCCACTGCACATCTTCTTTTGTGGGTTCCGCCGGTTCCACCTCCAAAAGCGGGCGATACTCCCGGCGGCCGCGGTGAGTGAGAGGACGGGTGTGGATTGGACGGAAAACAAGACCTTCCTGGCTTAAGGAGTATCGACTCATTTAAGATCTTATAAGTATCTAAGATTATCCAAAGTATCTTATACTTTTGCAGTGGTTTGTTCTTTTTGCCCAATGAGTTTAACAAGGAACTGAACACTCTTGCATGAGTTTTGCCTTTCACCAAGAGGATTCTGGCTGGGTTCTATTGGTGGAAAGCCAGCTGCTGGTAGAGGATTGCGGACTTCCAAAAGACACTACACTCCTGTTCCATGTTGGATTGAGGGCAGCACGCACTTTCTGTATAACTGACCAGTGATCCTCTTATATGTCTATTGTATGATATTGTATGTCTATTTTCTGATAACAAAATAACACCCAGGCCCCAGGCCACATACAACGTATACCCAATCTATGGAGGTATATGCTCTTTGCTGATCAAATGCAGCAAGTTCGCAATAGTGGCACCTCCTGCGAAAAAGGATGAAAAAGGATATCGGGTACAAACCGATGGATCTCAAACCCATGATGGTGCTTTTCAAGACCTGCAAGCCGTGCTGACCAAAATCACGCCAGAAGGGAGGACAAAACGACCAGTCAACGGCCTCCGGGGCGCCCGAAAAACAGAATCACATGCTGCCCTATCGGCTCTTGAAGGCACCACCTTATTTTTACAAGAAGAAAGAAGAAGAAGAAGAACAACAACAACAACAACCTGAAGCAGTAGATTACTCAGCAAATGAGTGCACTGATGAGTGCTGTTCTCCCCTGTTTACACATAACTATAACCCTGCAAGACTCTCTGCCAGCCCTTCCCTGGTCCCCCACCCTCCTCCTCCTCCTCCACTGCTCAGCTCGCTCTTCCTTCCGCCGAGGAGCTCCTCGGCCACACCACCGGTGACGTGCATGATGGGCAAAAGCTTCCGCTCGGCCATGTAGTCGACGTCCAAACCGAGCTTTTGACCATCCACCTGAAGGAGGTCCGGGAGTCCCCCCCGGGTGACGTTGTAAGGCCATGCTGAGCTATCCACGGAGTGGCCATATAGCATGGGCCAAACGTACATCTAGATCATCTAGAGTCTAGAGATTCGGGACCCTGGATTAAACAATATAAACTTTCTTGATGCGCTAGGCATGTGGCGCCTGGAAGGCATTTTTTAGGAGATCTTGGATTTTGTGGAGTGAAGATGTGGTACCAACTCACTCCAACATGCGATGTCATCCAGGAGCCACAAACATCGTCCAACATCCACATTCAACCACGCATGCACCATCAACCACCCTACCTGACATCCCCTGACATCCCAGTCATTCAATAACTACACCATCCAGTCCACTGCCCCCCCCAAAACGGTCAAAAACATCTGCCATGCGCCCGCCATAACCCAAGCAAAGGTTCAAGAACCCTGGTTCGACTATCCCAGTTGGGTATCCCACCATAGGGTTCAAATAATGGTCCCTTCACCTCTGTGGGACCCCCCTCCCCAGATTTTCCCCCACCCACGGCGCCTTGTTGAGAGTCACCTGGTAGACGCGTTCGGCCTCCGTGTCGCCGCCCGCCAAGCCCAGGCCGCCCGCCACCGCGGCGTCGCCGCCGCTGATCATGAGCGGCTTGGCATCCACCGGCTGCGTCTCGTTCACCGCCAAGTCTTCCTCAGTCCGAGGAGGGGTGGAGGAGGGGTACCGGAGGGCGAGGCCGGGAGGCCGGGAGCCCCATTCGAAGGGCGTGGGCGAAGGTCGGCTGGAGGCGGCTTTGTGGTTTGGACTCAGCTAATCTTAGCATCCCTGCAATGCATGAAAAAGGCTTCCTAGAACCTGAATGACCTCTACTCTGGACCACCAACCACCCCAAATTCGTATCCAAACCAGTTGTCATGTCAGAGTTCCAGGTTAATTATCAGGTACCCTCTGACTCACTAACATGGAAGTGAAGTTCAGAGGATCAAATGATCTTCCCAGTAGCCATGGTCCATCCATTTCCATTGTCCATCTACGTTCCCTGGGACTTTTGATGCGTGCGGAACCGATGTAGCATCCGATCGCTGCCGCTGCCGCTTCGGCGGCTAGGACACTCCACCGTGCTAAGGCAGCTAGACCGTTCCTAGTAGCTTCCTTTCGACCGTTCCTAGTATAGCTTTGACCGTTCATTGTAGTAAGCAACTCTGAAACACGTGGTGCTTTTGGGTCGAAGAAGCCGAAGCGGAACACCTTCGACTGTCCTCCCCGGCGCCCCGGGTGGGCGCCAACGCGTTCCACCAGCGGCCGAGTTGAGGACTTCCACAGGGGGCATCCGATTCTTCCACGGGGGGGGTGGAAAGGGGTGTGTTGTTGGTTCCTGAGGCCCAAGCAAGCCTATATGGCCCTATCATGAGGTCCTATAATGGCTTAATAGGTCCGAGGTCTGACGAAAAAAGCAAACAGTCTAGATTCCTCTGCTCCAAGCTGAAGAAGAATCAAAAGGACTTGATTGAAACTTGTTTGTTCACATCAGATCCTGATGTATGACCAAAAGTCCAATTGAGGACATGTCGGACATGTTGAATCATCTCAATACATGGGGAGCCAGTTCTGTTCCTTAGAACATCTGCATCAATTCCCCGCTCCAAACCGGTGTGGTCTGCCAAGGCACCAAGCATGGCCTCCTTTAGGCACCAATTATGCTGGGCTTTACTAGGGCACCATGGTCGTGTTCGTCAGACCAAACCCAGCATGTACGGAAAATACATAGTCAGGGGTGTCCATAAACCACCCCTTTTCAGTGGTCCTGGTATATAATGTGGATTAAATTAAATTAATGTATAGATAATAGAATTATATAGATTGGGATGGTTTCCAAGGTCAACCCGCAGGCCCCCCACCAGTCATGCCCGTCCCACCCGTTGGGATGCTGCACCAAGCTTCAGACTGACAACATGAGGTGTTCCCCATGGCGCGGTCTTCGCCACGGTGGAGGAACCCCCTCCCGTCGCCGCGGTCTGTCCCCCCGTCACCGACCCGTCTGAGCCCGGAGCCCAAACGGCACGGTCGAACGGGTGTTAGAGGCGGAACGATGGTCGAGCGAGCCGCCTGGCCCAAGGAGTTTATGCAGGTTTGGGTGCCAACAACTTGTAGGTTCCAGCTTCTTCAGTTCGTGACCTCCAAATGGAGTGCCATGTTTGTCACCTGTAAAACAGGCCCGTGTGTGACCTCAAACTGGGAGATCAAAAGGTCACTTTGAAGAACCGGGTTTGTAGGTTTAGGTCTGTAGTTTGTAGGTTTGAACCTTTTGTAGTGGCCTAACTTGAGATCCCAGTGACTGAGGTCCTGAACAGGTCTGGTGTTAAATCAGGTCACTGACTTACCACTACCAGGAACTCAGGTCGCTGGGTGTCGGTCCTGGTGTTGTTCAATTCCCTTTTTCGATGTTCCGAACCCAGAGGGTCGGTCGTTCCTGGTTTCGATGTGGATGTGATTTGTATCGATTGGTCGAACACCTCTCTTTCCCAGTGCTTTGGTATGAGGGCACCATCGGATGCACCTAACATGTTCGAAACAATCGGGATTGAGTGTCTTTTGAGTGGATTGATCTAAGAATCGGATGCACCTAACATGTTCGAAAGAAAACACACAAATTAGATTCTTAGATCAATCCACTCAAAGATTCCACCCGCTCCCACCCGATTGAGAGAAACAACCACTTTCGACTCCGAATCATCGTGGAAGTGGCACTTAAGGGACCCGTGGAAGACCATCTTCTTCTACAAATCTGGTGGTTTTTGCCACTTTCCAACAGATGCTTTTTGGAGGAAAGGGAGTGTATGGGATTTCCACTCACAAATAGGGGGTGGTTCTACATATAGGTGATTCTAGTTAGTGCAGGATCACATGGTGATGTCGAAGCCTGCAACATTTGGGGTCCTTGGACCTTGGACCTCTGTCAGATGTATGATCAAGCCACGGGAGCCGCACTGACTGCCAGTGGGAGCGGCAGGGAACCACAGCCCGTACGTGGCAGCCGAACGCGGCCACAGACCGTGCTCCCAGCATGGTTTGCGCACCTGAAGGGCAGTGGCCACTGCTTCCATCTCATACTCCTCGCCATCCTGGATCGACTGGTCCCGGCTCGTTCACCGACCCCCCCAAAGTGTGCTCAACTCGGCGAGGTCCGAAACACATGGGTGGGTCTTCAAACGAACAGGCGTTGTTCCGACCCCGTGGGTTCCGTTTGGGAAATAGATCGGTCTACCCAGCCGACCAAGGGAGTCCCCCGATTCAAATAGTTGGTGGGACGCACAAGCACGCCCAACCTTCCAGGTACATGATGTGGAGTGAAAGACCAGCCCCTGAAGTCATCTCTTGAACTTCACTTTAGCTGAAGTCGTCTCCATGTCCTCGAGCAATCAGAAGCTGTGTCTAAGGTGGGTCAACCGCCAGGCCAAGAGCAGGGGTCCATCTTCGACCCGGTGACCGGTGGTCTTCGACCCCCAAGACCACCCACCCCAATCCCACCTTCGAAACGGAGGTGGGCCAGGAGCCCTATGGGAAAGATCCTTGAATGTGTTCCGCTCTCCTTGCCTTCAGGGATGGTACCAGCATCAGTACCAACTCCTATAGGTAGCGGTTTGGGATCCAGTCGTACCGAACCTTAGGTACGGTGAGGACGGCGGAGGCACTATTATATAGGTTTGGAGGGTCCAGTCGTACATTCTGAGAAGGTACGACTGGATCCCTAGGCCAGGGTTTGTATTGCTTGCATTGGGTTGCTTGGGCTTTTAAAGTGGTTACAGAGTAGATGGCACGTCTGGCCTCCCAATTCTGGTGGTTGAGACGGACCAGACATCTTTAGTTTGTTCCAAAGTCTAAGAGTAACAGTGCTCTTTCAAACAGTGATAAACAAAGCGGCTCAGCAGGAGCATCTTGAACATGCCCTTCGCCTGTTTCTAGCCTATATCAAAGCCCATCTTGGATAGAACCACTTGGGAATTCATGGTCTCCCAAAAAGTTGTATTGGTTAAAGCTCCCCAAGTTTTCAGATTGTCAAAGCCTAATTGTGTTAGACAAACCTACACTAACCGCCCCCAAATAATGGTCCTTCCTTACCCAAAACAAAGGTCAAATGGGCTCTAGGCCAGTAAACATATGGTTGAACTATGGAGGTCCCCAAATAGATAGTGGCACGGTTTCCAATACCTTTCTAGTGGGAATCATCTACCCTAGGCTTCCAACAACCATTAATAGGCTTTACCCAATCAACTAAGGATTTTAGAATACAAAAACCAGGTCAACCATTGTTTTAATGGTCTTTGACTCCCAGGGTCTACTTTTCTATCTATTTGGTGTGTACTTTTGGCGACCGGGGGGGCGACCGGTCCCTGGAGTCGATCCGGAACTGGGTCAGTCGGGTCTAGGGGAGACCAATATGGCAGTCCCCAAATAGATAGAAACAGCATGGATCTACTGGGGATCTACTGGGGACTGCCATAGTGGAGATCCCAATACATTTTTAGTGGGGACAGTGGGGATCTACTTTTTCGGTATAGTTGGATTGATCGTTCCATCTGACGATTCTCCGCCCCCGACAAAAGATCGCGCTTCTCTCCCGTTCTCTGGCCTCGCCCCGGCCGACGACACTGCCATCGGTGTGGAGGGTGACCTCGCAGCGAAACCAACGCAGAATCGGCACGGTTGACCCCAACCACCGGATCCACACCCTAAGGATCCACAGATCCACCGAATCCAGAGATGGTGCGATAGGACTGGACCCGACCTTTGGGCACCTATACTGTATAAAAGTGTCTCCTTCCTCATCTTCTCAGAGGGTGGATCCCTAGGGCCTATAAGGACTCTGTTGTGCGCCTTTGGGGGAGTTCGCTGAAGGGCCCAACGCCTGAAATGGTACGAAGCACCATGGATTGAAGCTGCTCCATGCGAAGAACACCCACGGTGGATGCTGCTCCGATGCGCATGGGTCGCGAAGCCCAAGCATGTTTGTTCCTTTTGTCAGTTTGGTGATTTGGTGAGGTCGCTGGGAATCAACCTTTAAGCGAACGTGCGCATAGATGGAAGCCATGAAGTGCGCGATTGCAAGAGTAGTTGTACGTATATAATTCTATGGAGCATATCCAAATCCGGTATTATTCATGAGGGACCACCGTGTGTGTGTGTGTGCTTGTGTGTGCAATATGTAGAACCATCAAACAAATTGTAATGACTCGACGTAAAAACTGTATCCTTGCCTATCTGCGGACGTTGAACCCATCCGAGCCGGATAAAATCTTGATCAAACACTCCAACATGTCAAGGTTGATCCTTCACAGGATTAAGATTTCCAGCAAGTCCCTTACTTTCATCTCCAAGCAGCCCAATGCCCTGGCAAGCCAACATGCTTGGACCTCAGTCTGAATCACTGGATCACTGGTGCCAAGTCAATCCACAAGGATGTGGCTCCCCCAACAAAAGACACTCAATATGTCACATCATGGGAAGAAAACATGTCTAATCGCAGTCCTACGTATCATGTTTCCATGTGAAAGGGACAACTTCTGGGGCTTCTTTCTACCTAAAGTTCCAACGCAACTTTTCGGCAGGAGCTTATGGGTAAATAGAAAAATCACCTTGAGCATTAAAAGCAGGTGATCCTTTGGACGGCATTTCAGATGGTCCTAGGGTCCGTTCGACCATCGAAAGAATAAAGCAACAAAATCCTAATATGTATGATTCCTTACCTTCGAACACGATCCTTATAGAAGAAGATCCTGACAAAATGGAACTCCTTTGAATTCCCTGCAATAGGAACACCCCAAAAAACCATCGTCATCCCCGCACCGCTGCTTTACGTCGCTGCGGATCTGGTCCACCGGATCAACCACTTCTCACCGCGGAGGTGGGTGCCCTGCGCTTCTGGGTCCACGAAGGTGTCCTGGTAGACCTGAGCCCATTGCACCGGATCAACCACTCGGTTTCCAACACGCCATGGTGGCCTTCAGCATACAGTATGACGGACCTTCAGCAGTATGACTACCAGCAGTCAAATGGGAGCCTTTGGGAGATTTCTAGCATTTTCTCGTGGGTCATCGCTCAAGGAGATACACTTCCTGGACTCATGGAGCCTCTGAGATCCTCAACGTTGTGCTCGTTCCTTCCTCAGCAGAGAACCTTTCCACATCTCGAGCAGCACTGACATCCGATCCCTCGATCACTGCAAAATCCCAGCACATCTCGGGATTCAGGGGTAACAGAGGTAGTGGAACAAAGGTCAACCATGTGTTTAATCTTGGAAGCCTAGGGTATAATATGTATCGATACATCGAGACATACCCTGGATGCCGGAGATTTGTGGAAAAGAACACTGACTGGGTAGGAATATATAAGAATAAATGGCTTCCAACACATGCATCATGGGGCCTTGTCTATGTTCTATCAAGTTCCTCCACTGACATTATTTTGGATCCATGATGGACGATCTTAGAGTGTACCAGGTAAAGGCGTGAACCGCTCAACAATTACTGAATCAGTGTGACTCATATAATATGACTTACAAAACAAATGAACATTTAGTGTGACACATTTTTTCATGTCAAGTTATTTGAGTAAACATTGTGTGAATCACCCACCATGAGAAGGCAAATCACACAAATGATCCAGACCGGGTGGCTTTAGTCTCTTAAAGTTATCCTAGAAAATGGGACATGACCCTATAGGAAAAAAGAGGTCATTGGACTCATTTTCTGAGGTACGTACGGGTCAACTCCAGGTATTTGGGCTCACAGCCAGCTCACAACAAATCATCTTCAGGTCCAGGTCTGCGCTTTCACTGAGGTTCCCATCCTGATGCATCCTCTTTAGCCTCAAAAAGCAGAAGGCCGGTCATGAATTGAAGATGATGCAAAACCAATGTGGACCAGGACTGATCAAATTTGATATCTGATGAGTCTTGTTAGAACCTCCTCCTCTTTGAGTGTCACACGCATTTGGGGGAAGAGTTCACCCTTTCTTGCAGATGCCAATCCAACAACAACCCGCCGGA